TGTGCAGAGCGAAGGCAGGTGTGCAGAGCGAAGGCGGGTGTGCAGAGCGAAGGCAGGTGTGCAGAGCGAAGGCGGGTGTGCAGAGCGAAGGCAGGCGGGTGTGCAGAGCGAAGGCGGGCGGGTGTGCAGAGTAAAGGTGGGTGTGCAGAGCGAAGGCGGGTGTGCAGAGCGAAGGCGGGTGTGCAGAGCGAAGGCGGGCGGGTGTGCAGAGCGAAGGCGGGCGGGTGTGCAGAGTAAAGGCGGGTGAGCAGAGCGAAGGCAGGCGGGTGTGCAGAGTAAAGGCGGGTGAGCAGAGCGAAGGCGGGTATGCAGAGCGAAGGCGGGTGTGCAGAGAGAAGGCGGGTGTGCAGAGCGAAGGTGGGTGTGCAGAGCGAAGGCAGGCGGGTGTGCAGAGCGAAGGCAGGCGGGTGTGCAGAGCGAAGGCGGGTGGGTGTGCAGAGCGAAGGCGGGTGTGCAGAGCGAAGGCAGGCGGGTGTGCAGAGCGAAGGCGGGTGGGTGTGCAGAGCGAAGGCGGGTGAGCAGAGCGAAGGCAGGCGGGTGTGCAGAGCGAGGTGGGTGTGCAGAGCGAGGTGGGTGTCCAGCATGGCGGTGGGAGCGATATGAACGAGCAGCTAAGTGGGTAGAATTTGCACGTGGCTCAAACACCATGATGGTGCCGCTGGAGAGAAAATCACACATAGATTCACCATCATTGTCTCCAGAAGTTAAACCAAAAGTTGAGTGGAGAGAAAACCAAATGTTTGCTGAACCTGATTTCCATCATTTCCTGGTTAAGGACTGAAGCTCCCCTTCATGTGTTCTGTGCTTTATTAGCAGACCGATGTTTCTCAGACCTGCAGGAACATTTTCATTTCTGTCTGAAGTAGAAATTATTCAGGTTAGATGCTGCATTCATATGGAGGTCGTTCACCTGCACTTGTAGGTTCAATTAGTTATGCATGCTCACATATTCATCTGTTTTTGTTCTGCATCACCTTTTTGGCTGAAAGTGATGCTGCTCACTCTTTACCTCACGCTACCTTTCTCACTGGAACTCGCCCACACTGCCTCCGCTTTGCCAGAGGAGTTCATTCAGGCAGAACACTGAGTCACACACAGACACAAAGCAAGCTACACAACCTGCAGTTTGGATCTCACTTCTTCTCTTTGGGCTCTATGAGTCTAACATGGAGGATGAACTCTGAACATAGATGTTCACCAGCTTACAGATGTTAGTTTAACCAGTTTAACTTTATTCCTGCTGGGGAGAGAAGAGCTAGACTCACCAAGAGCTGATAAGATAAAAAACAACAACATCACACATGAAGCTGAGTTTGAGAAGGAATGGAATAGAAGTAGCTCCTTTTAAAGTCTTTATGTT